TCAGAGGAGGACCTGCAGAAAGACACACACTCTGTTTAGACCTGATGAAGTTCTTGGATGGAAATAAAATCAATCATAAAGTCAGGTGTGATAGTTACTGAATGCTGACTGCAGTATAAAGAGAACAGAGAGTCTACATAAAAGATCCTGCCTCACCATCGGGGATTGAGGACGTGTTTCCCATCTCTGCTCTTGATTTCTGGAGAATGAACAGAAGCACAGCTCTCCACTGTTGTGGCATGAAGCAGTTTTCAGCGCTCCACCCACAGGGTGGATCCAATCTCTCAGAGTATTTCAGTCAGTGTCCGTCTGATCAAAGCTGATTCAGAGACTCTTGTGACACCTGCACACTGTTTGTTGGTCTTTAGGCAGCTGACGAGATGAGTTCTACCAAAGCTTCACGTAAGTGACTCTGATTTACTGAGTTTTTTCCTCCTTACCAAGGCCTGCTACATCTATGATCTACTACAGCACTAAACATTCTGTTAAGATGACAGACTGTTTTTAATATTGAAAAATCACAGATTAAAATTGTTCTTGAAATCTTGTGTTGGGACTTTCTTAGCCTTGGGTTCAGGACTCCAGGAGGAGTTTGTCAGGAACAGATAAGTCATAATATTAACATTTAGGAGGAAACTGTATTTTTGTGCAGATTCTTTTTGTGTGTGTTCAAGTGTTTATTGCTCTGTGTTGTTGATTCACTCAACACCTAATCTTGGTAAATGTGTGTAAATTCTCCATAATGTTAAATCAATTAACTGCTTATCCCAATGTCACTTGATTGAGCAAAAACAGGTAAAAGAGTTTATATTCTTTTATTATTACTTTACCTATTCAATGAAGAAATTAGCTTCTCCTTTGCCTTCTAACTTCTAGTTATTAAGTAGTATTCATATACGATTTGTTCCTTATTATACATTCAGGAAACTCAACTTTTTTTTCAGGTTTTCATAAGAACCACTTGTCACAGAATCTAAAAATGAAAACATTAATTCCCTTTCAGGAACATACAGACGTGGTTTGCTGCATTTAAATATCTAGAAATAATCCACAAAAACTTCAGTCTTGCCAGAAAAGATTGTAAAATATTGTTTCTCTGACTGTTTTCATGAAGCAGACAAGGCAGAGGATACAGAGTGGACATGTGTTCATGGTTATCTATCTGTAAACTAGACTCAGACCTGTGCATTAGAATTAAAAAACAAAAGGTGATCAGTGGCAGGTGAAATTGCAACCACATTTTATAGAATACTAAGAGTTATATAACATTATTGTTTCAACAGAAAATCCTGAGAAGTTCACCATCGCTCTGCTTGGGAAGAACCCTGAGTTTAAGAACAAGATTCAACAACTCATCCTCAGTAATGACAACGGTTCTGTCACAAGACAAAATAACTTTGTTGTTCTAGAGAGTCGCTCATTCAGAATCATCAGTACTCGTGATTTCTGTGATGAGGACTGTCCGTGTTCAGTCCAGCAGGTGATTGACTTCATGGCACATTGCTATCCTGGTCTTCACCTGTTCATACTGGCAATAGATTCAGAAAATGCTCAGGTGGAAAAAATTGTTTCCCAAATTGGTAAACTTCAGTATGTCTTTGGACAAACTATCACAAAACACTTAGTTGTCATGTTTGATAAGTATATGAGCAACACGTCACTTGATCAGCTGAAGGAAAAGTTCAACATCGAGCTGGCAACCCTCAGTGAACATCTGGTCCACGACTGTATGAAGTGGTGTTCAAGCCGTCCGGTATTCCAGTATGACTACAAAGACTACAGTGAAAAAGTCGTGAAAAGAAGGAAAAACGATTTGAAATGGACAAGGTAAAGACATCAACATTTATTATGTGTAATTGATGTGGACAGTAAGTCTCATGTCTGTCAAGTTTTCTGTTTCTGTACACATTTTATGTCTCGTCTTTCCTGTTTTATTTTGAAGTCACTTCACCGGTTGTTTCTGTTTCAATTTTACTTCTTGTCACACCTGTTCCCTGATTACCTCCCCGCACCTGTTTCCCATCTCCCCTCATTACCTCGTGTATATTACCTTATGTGTCTCACTGTCTTGTAGCCGGTTCGTTGCACTTCACAGTCCTCGTACCAGCGTTTCCAAGTCAAGTCATAGTCTGTTTGTTCGCGACCACGTTTCTGTTTTTTGGACCTTGCCTTTTTGCCTCTCGATTTCTGGATACCTCTGCCTGCCTGATTGATTTCCCGTGTACCGAACCCAGTTTGTCATTAAACCTGCCTTTTTGCCCAAATCTATTCTGAGTTGAGCATTTGTGTCCACCTGTTCTGTGAGTGAGTTCATGACAGTAAGTCTCATGTTATGAAGCTTGTGTTCCTCTGAGCATTCTCTAACGGTGGGTTTCTGTGGAGTTGTGTCAGGAAAGGATGTAGTTCTTCTAGTATTTCTGACACATCTTATGGGTTGATGGTCACTGACACCCAGAGAAATAACAACAATGGCAGACTAATTAAGGGGTTTGTTATAATGTGATCTATTATTGTAGAAAAGAGCAAATGTCTTTGAGTTCATCAGATCTGTTAGGTCCCCATATTAAATAGTTCAGAAGATGCACAAGTTGACCACAAGCGCTCCTCCAAAACCTCAGTGATTCAGACTGAATAGGTATTTTCTCCAACACATACTTCCAGAGCAACATCGGCAAATTTCTGAAGAGGGTTCATTAGTCGATATTAATACACCACATCCTTTTCTTTTGCCTACATAGGTACATGAGTTATATCCAGCAATAGGTTTGTCTTCAACACTGCATACTACAATTGTCTGTCTCATGAGAGGATGAACATTTCAGGTGTAGTTTTTGTTGTTGTTGTTGTTGTTTTTTAAATATTTTTTTCCATCCTGTTTGCCTTTATTACAGTGGACAGTGGAGAGAGAGACAGGAAACATGGGGGGAAGACTGGAGGGAGGACATGCAGGAAATGAGCCACTGGCCGGACTCGAACCGCGGCTGCTGCATCGGGGACTTTCAGCCCCTGTATATGGGTCACCTGCTCTACCCACCGAGCTACCGGATGCCCACTTTCAGGTGTAGTTTTGTCCCAATGACAATCCAGTCAATAATCAATACAGCAATAGATGCCAGTTTGGTTTACTGCAAAATAAAGCAGTACCATGATTTATCTTTCCAGAAATTTCCTTTTGCTGAGAAAACCCACTGAAAACACAAGCTAGCTTCAAAAGAGGGCAGGATTTACACTGTCAACAGATGCATATGTGATATTTTGTTAGGTATAAGTTTGTTGTAATATGTATTATGATTATTGTTTCAGAAATGAATACCCTCCTCTGTGTAACCATGAGAGATCAGGTGAGTCTATGCTCTACACATATGTCAGGACAGATGTTAATATTTTTAACACTGTCATTAGCGACTATTTTTTGTGCTATAATACATTAAAAAAAATTATCTAGATAAAAAAAAACACTTAGGCACTAATTTAATCCTTGTCATCCACCTAGTGTTTGGGCTCAGCAAACAAATTTAACACAACATTTTGCATCAGTCTTTTTAAGTTTTGACAATTTCTCATGAAGTTCAGATTAACAAACAATTTTAAGTTGGAGGTATAAGCTTTTCCGCTACAGTCAAAATGGTTTAAATTGACTGATTTAAACGTCTGAAGTTAAGATAGTGGAGAGGAGACATGTCTGTGTCTGTTCACAGTCATCCAAGTCACAGTAATTGTAAATATTTTAGTAGAAGTTAACTGGACATTATTGGTTAACTGTGACATCGTCAGCGGCCTCCTTCCGTCTCGCGAGACATTGGGATGCACCATGTTCAGTCACTCGCACACTTCTTGGCGTGGCTAAACAAGCCAGTGCAGGACTGGCAGTCTTTTAGGCATGAAGAACAGATGTGTACAGAGGCTTCTTGATCTTTTTTGGAAGACTTGCGTTTCCCTCTTTGGCCTGAGATCGGCACTGTGTGACATCTCTGCCTGTTTTGTACTGCTCACAACAGCAGATTTCCAGGAATCTCTTGAATCAGTAGTGGTCTCCCAGGACTGGATGCTGATCCCAGAGGTTTTCATGTCGCGCTTGCAAGCGTCTTTGAAGCAGAGCCTTGGGCGAGCTTGAGGTCTAGAGCCTTCTGACAACTCACCGTAAAGTCAATCTTCAGGTATTCTGCCATCGCCAATGTGGCATACATGGCCCAGCCAGCAAAGACAGCATTGGCTAAGGAGCGTGAAGATGGATGGAAGTCCTGCGCACTCGAGCACATCAATGCTTGGGATTTTATCTTGCCATCTGATGCTGAGGATGGGTCTGAGGCAGCGAAGATGGAAGCTGTTGAGTCTCATCTCCTGAGCAGAGTAGGTAGTCCAAGTTTCGCTGGAGTAGAGAAGTGAAGCTCTGTACACCTGCATTTTAGTACTAACTGTGAACTTGTTGTTTGTCTATATTCTGGTGTGAAGCTTGGACATGATTGCTGAGGCCTTTCCTATTCTTGCGATGAGCTCTGGTTCGAGTGAGACATTCGAAATGATTATGGACCCAAGGTAATGGAATTTACCGACTGATTTGAGTTTGTGGCTTCCGAGATAGATGTGCGGTGAGTGGTCAATGTCTTGTCCCATAACTTCCGTCTTCTTTGTACTGAGGGTGAGACCGAACTCATCGCAGGCTTTAACAAGAAGATCAATTATTCTCTGTAGAGTGTCGCCTGAGTGGGTTGCTAAAGCAATATTGTCAGCAAAGAGGGCCTCTCTGATGGTGACTTGTCTAACCTTGGTCTTAGCACGAAGTCTTGCTAGGTTGAACAGCCTGCTGTAAGATCGCGTGTGGAGGTAAACACCATCTTCGTTGTCCTTGAAGGCGTATGCTAAAAAGCATTGATAGTGTTGGTGTGAGAATGCAACTCTGTCTGACTCCACTGTGGACTGGGAATGGTGTTGATATTGATCCGGTGTAGCAGATTGTACTATACATATCCGTGTGGAAGGACTCTATAATAGAAAGCAACTTTGGAGGGCAGCCGTTCTTCTTCAGGATTAGGAAAAGTCCGCTTCTGTGAACAAGGTCGAAAGCCTTTGTTAGGTCGATGAAGGCAAAGAAGAGTGGTTAGTTCTGCTCCCAGCATTTTTCCTGCAGTTGACTGACAGAGAAGATCATGTCGATCGGTAGTTCGTACAAGTCTAGGATAAGTGCTTCTTTGCCATGTTTGATCACTTCGGGGGGAATTCCATCCTCTCCCTGGGCCTTGCCACTTGAAAGAAAGTCGATAGCCTTACTTAGTTCTTGCATTGTTGGTTCCTCGTCCAGTTCTGCTAGAATGGGCAGCTGGCTGATAGTGTCTAGGGCAGCATCCGTAACGACATTTTGAGTGGAGTACAGCTCTAAATACTGTTTTACACATCACTCCATCTGCTTCTTCTGCGTACATGCTGCTGATGTTTCCACAATCAGCATTAGATTGGATCCTCTGACTTAGCTTCAGCTCCAGTAGTCATTTGCACAGCGTTGGGCCATCTTTTGGCAACTACTACGTGCAGCTCTCAGTGCATCCCTTGTAGCTTGACATGGATTGCTTACATGGGCTTAGTGTGCAGCATGCTTGGCCTCCACTTTGGGCTCCATTTCCTGCCAGTTGGCTTCAAACCAATCCCAGTTGTGATGTTCCTTCCTCCCAAATGCCTCGAGTCCGAATTGGTACAGGGCCGTGCGTACGTGAGTCCATTTTGATTCAGCTGTCTCTGCAGCTGAACAGCCATTTTTCCAAAGATGTTGGAAAGTAAGATGCTTTTGTACTCTGAGTGGACAAGAGGCTAGGCCGGCATTGATACACGGGATGCACTTCGTCTTGGACAGCTGTAGCTTGTGTGGAACGAGGCAAAGGATGGAACAGACAAGGACGTGATCGGTGTCACAGTCGGCGCTCTGCATGCTTCTGGTGTTGCACACATCGTTCAGATCTTTTTTCCTGGTCAGAATCAGGTCTAGCTGGTGCCATCGGTTGGATCGTGAGTGGCGCCATGAAACTTTGTGCCTCTCTTTGTTCTGGAAGAAGGTGTTGGTCACCACCAACTTGTGGAAAGAGCAAAGCTCTAAAAGCCTTTGGCCATTCTTGTTCATCCATGATGGCCGATGACAGAAGGCCAAGCTTCAAAGTCAGCACCAACCCTAGCATTGAAGTCTCGCATGATGAAGAGTCCTTCCTTGCTGGGCACACTCTTGATGATCACGTCAAAGGAGTCATAAAACTGGTCCTCGTCCGAGGAGGAACATAGCGTTGGTGAGTAAACACGCACAAAATTAACTACACCTGTTCTGGTTGTCATCCACAAGGTCAGAAGTCTCTCGGAGCGCCCGATGGCAGCTCGATGGTGGTCAGCAAGGAGTTCTTCACTGCAAAGCCTACGCCATGTAATCTGGGCTTGTCATGTCTTTTTCCCTGCCAGAAAAACGTGTAGTTGCAAGGCAGTGTCGAAACTGAGATGGCTGTCCAATACAGAGGTCTTCTGTATGTCGTCCATTAACTGAGGGTCGCGATTAAAACTGTGACACATAGTTCTTACATTCCAGCTTGATATTTGAAGGTATCTTCATAGTTAGTAAACGAAGTTGGCCAGGTGCTTGGATTTACAACTTGCCTGTCAATTTTGTCCTAGCTCCAAGCACCCAATGGAGCAAGCAGGTTGTGGTGGGGTAGTACCTTACTGTCCGAGGGCTGCCCGGATTGAGGCGGGTGGTGACTACCCAGATGAATTAAAGAATTCCTCCCACCATCAAGAGCAACCCCTATGGCCCAGCTCTACGTCACATGAGCATGGGTTTTTAGCTGGTAAACTGC